AGAGGAGAAACTCTCCAAGTCCTGCTGTCTTCACTCACAAACTAGGAAGAATGAGCACTTTGTGTCCATTGTTGGACATTTTCAGGGATTTTTTAACCAAATTGCTGCAACATCTTCTAATTTTTGCTGAAAAAAGTGAAGAATTGGGGTGTTTTCTGCTCTGGGTTATAACAAATAGTTGTATTTCCTCTCAGATAACAGTGAAAATATTTGCTTACCTGCCTGAAACAAATCCAGATTTCCTCTGAAACATTTATTTATTGGCTTGTAGACACTCTTTGAGGGTATTTTTAATGTGTTGTCGATTGGAAAGGCATAAAAATAACAGAAGATCAAAGAAAATGTAAACTGTTTTAAACAGAAAATGAATTAAAACGGGAGGATGCGGTTGAATCTACAGAGAGGACAAATATAATCATGAATGGATATTGAGTGTCTCTGTTGTGTTGATTTAAATTTCTGTCAGGTTGGGTTTGTGTATTCGTTGCTCATGAGCTTGTGGAGGCAGGATGCCTCTTTTTCTTTTCTAATCCGCGGCTCCCTCGACTCGCCGTGATATTTATTCAGCCTTAATCCAAACAAACACGAGCTCCGAGGGAGGAAAAAACTCCCGTCTGAGAAAAACTCAGCAGATTTAACCTTTGACCTTTGTGGCAGTTATAGTGCGATGGGCACTGGACTGTAGGGGGATTTCCCATGATGCACCGGGGTCGGTTAGCCTCTGTTTGGAGTCTGTAGGAGCCTCGGTTGGATGTCCGACTCCTCACACATCCAAGTCGGCCATTTTGATTAAGTCATGTGACTAGCAGCTTTCTGAGGTGGAAACGAAACTTTACTGTCGGAAGAAAAACGATGTCCTAACCCTAACCCTTAACCTAACCCTGACCCTAAACCTGGCCCTAAACCTAACCCTGACCCTGACCATAACCCTAACCCTAACCCTCCATCCTTCATAATTGTGAGAAATTAATATTTTTTGGTTAAACTTGTTTGGACTTATTGTACAAACCTATTTAACATCCACTATTTTAACATAATATTATGTGTAGAGTTTAATTCAGTGTTTGCAAGATTAATTTCACTATTTTTTTAATTAATGTCTATATTGCCATGAAGCAATTAGGATTTTCTTGCCTGGGAGTTTTTCCCTCCCTGTGTCTCCTAGTGCTGCTCTGGGTGGGAACTTTTGTTCTTCTGTAAATAAGTCACAAAGCTGGGAGATAACTGTTGTTGTGATTTGGTGCTATAGAAATAAAATAGAATTTAATTTAATTGATTAACCTAGCTGTCCGATGAGCCTCCTTTGGGGGTAAATCCGGATTCTGGCGTTTCTCTGGTCGTCCCTTTTTGAGTTGGGCTCAGTCGTGTGGTTTAACTGGAGTTAATATTAAGGTTAAGTGTCCTCTCAGGCGTCAGATTGAAGCTTCAACTACTGGGAAAACGTTCTTAACTGTGGATCCTCACAACGATTACGCCGTTACCTCCAAACCTCGGCGGTATGATTACCCGTAATTACAGAAAGCTCCGGCCTGTTTTTGTTCATACTCCTCATTATTGTTGCTTACGCACGCAAGGTGTCACAGGAGAAGCTCTATCTTCAAAATGCATCAGATAAAACCCGGAGAAACCAGAGAGAGATCGCTAATGAGCTCCTTGGTTACCGCAGGAATTTCCATAGCAACCAATAAAGAATAAAGTGTGGCCAGATTAGAGAAGTTGGATGTAATTAGATTCAAGTTCTTCGAGTTTGTAATTGGAAATCTGATTGCTTGGATGGAGGTACCTGAAGTTTGAGAGCAAACAGAGATACAGTACACAATGAAACTAATTGCAGGTGAACTCTGCTCCGCTGGATATTGGGTTTATAATTACACACTGACAGTTTAGGCTCCGCAGAGCGAGAGCAAATAACTCTGTTTGTTCCAGACGTTTAATAGTGCTGCACACGGCTTATTATTGACCAGGTTTCTGCTCTATTCCTGTGTTTGTTTCCCTTAAAAAGTGACACGGTTGGAACATCTGTGGTCGTAGTTGTTGGTTCTGAAGCAGAAAACTGAAGGAAAGAAGCATCAAAAGCCTTCAGCCAATGGGAAGATGGATGTAGAGACGGTGAACATTTCAGGATTTGGGATCAGGATTGATGCTTAAGTTGACTTCTGGCAGCTCTTTAAATCCCAAATTGGCTTCTTTTGATGGAAATAGATGTGGAAAACTTCTCGGCTGTATTAATTTCTGAAACCCTGACCTGGGACAGATGTGTTTAAATAGATATCTCAGACTCTGGTCCGCTTTCTGCTGCTGCTTTTTTAGGTTTTAGATCCTTTACTGGTTCAACACACCTGATTCAGAAGCAGCAAAAGACCAAAAACAAGTTTTAAAACAAGTTTTATATCCAGATAACATGTTGCTTCACATCTTCAAGCTCAAAACATTTCGGCCATTTCCTCTAAACATCTGGAGTAGAGTTTAAAGCTGCAAATATTCTGGTTTGTTTACACATTTTTTAAATATATGTTTTAAGGTTTGAGGGACAAATTTAGTTTGTGGGGTCAGTGGGCGCCACCTTGCCAATTTGTGCACATTTTTGTGCCAGACTTCGTGTTTTTGTACTTCAGCTTCGGCTCTTCCTTTTTTCGTTTGGAGGAATTCCCCGAGGCTGAAATGCCACCTTAGCTAGCATCAACACCAGCTATCGGAGCATTAAGAAAAAGGAAAGTTCACCCATTTTCTCTGACATATTAACACTTGTTTGATAGCATCGAGGCCCTCCACAGCTTCCTCTGTGTTTGGCTTAAAGCCGTATAACCACAATTTTACCCTGACCTTTACTCTTATCAGGTGAGAGGACAGTAATTCTGCAAAGGGACGGTGGGCTGGTTTCTGTTATGGTCGCGTTTCAACAGTGACCCGATGGGCTGAACACACTGAAAAATTAAGAAACAAAGCGGCTCAGATGTTAAATGGGAAGCTTTTCAATTCGTTCGTAAGCAGCTGTAAGCAATATATGAGAAAATCCTAGCGTCGGTGGGATTTTTAACTCCTTTTTGGATAAAAATGGAAATTTTCAACACCGTTTTAGAGAAAAATTTAGATTTTTAACATCGTTTTGGAGAAAAATTGAGAATTTTTAAAACCGCTTTAGAGAAAAATGGAAATTTTAAACATCGTTTTAGAGAAAAATTTAAATTTTAAACTCCGTTTTGGAGAAAAATGGAGAGTTTTAACATCCTTTTGGAGAAAAATGCAGATTTTTAACACCGTTTTAGAGCAAATTTTAGATTTTTAACACTTTTAGAGAAAAATTTTGATTTTTAACTCCGTTTTGGAGAAAAATGGCGAGTTTTAACACAGTTTTTGAGAAAAATTGATATTTTTTACATCATTTTAGAGAAATATTGAGATTTTTATCTCTGATTTGGAGAAAAATGGAGAGTTTTAACACCGTTTTTTGAGAAAAAAAAATATTTTTCTGGCTTTTTTCTATGTTCTGCTATTTACAAAAATAGCAGAGCGTGTCTGTTATGGGCTGGTTTCAACAGTGACTCTGCAGCTGAATCCCAGAGTTCACCGGGAGGGTCAGGAGTGGAGAACCGGAGTGCGTTTGCTGCTAACCGAGTGGCTTTAATTGGTTTCTCCTTCTGCCGTGTGAGTGGTTATGTGGGTGTGATGACGAAAAAACCATTAACTTTTTCTCCTTCTCCACATCAAATGCACCTGCTTGAATGTGTGGATCTTGAAAGAATGAAAAAAAAAAACTCGGATCTGTCAATTAAGAGGTCGCGGCACTGTGCCAGTCTGAAAACGCTCATTAGCTGATGCCACTTCTAACTTTGAACCGCTCTCAGATTAGAAAACAACATCTTGTCATGACTTTTGGAGACTAATGAAAGAATGTGGACGCGCAGCACATTTCCGAACAGGTCATTCCCATGTGGATCCGCTCTTAATTTGACGAACAAAACGGGAGGACACATCACATCTTAGACATTAAGTCAAAATCATTTTTAAAAGATGAGAAAATACACACTGCAGAACATCTGTCCTCATCCGACGTTCATTTGCTCTTATTTTCTTCCAAGCTGCCAGACTTTCTTGTCATTAAACGAGTCTGGAGCAATTTGGAAATTGGCTGATTTTTCACTGATTTTCTGTCTAATTTTCTTTGTAAAGTCACTTAACTCTAAGCTAATAAATAGCCCCCTCACTCAAGGGATGAGCCAGTGTTGAGTGAGCTTTATTTAGATTTCTGTTAAGTTTTTTTGCTAAATCACTGCAACTATTTCCTGTTTTCTTGACAAATTATGTAGAAATTTGTCTTTGGAACTTTTCTCTTTTGAGACAAAGATAAAGAAGAAGACAAATAAAGATCCAGTTTAATTTTTGTTCCTATTTGGAAGTGTTGAGTAGCTCTTTAAAGCTGGTTCTGGGGTTCATCTTAAGTGTTATTGTCTCAGTTGTAGGGCTAAAAAAAATCAAAGGATTTTTATGTTAATGTTCCAGGAAAGGCAGGCATTTTTTAATGGTGTTCAAATGACCTACAAATAAGAAAAGTGAAACTACAACAACATTTTCTGGGCTTTTTATTTAGTGACACACATTTGGTAAAAGATTTGATGATAAAAATTGGCTCATGTTTAATATTCGTGGTTAAATAAAGACATTGTCCCTTAAAATACACAATCTCCGTCCTTTTTACCACAAAGTGAGCACCAAAGTGAAAGTACAGCAACATTTTCTGGACTTTTTATAAAGTGACACACATTTAGTAAAAGACCTGATTATAAAAATGTGCTAACG